CTTTTTTGGTGGGGGAGTTCTGGGCATAGAACTCAGGGGCACTCGACCACTGAGTTACATTCCCAGCCCTATTTTATATTTTATTTAGAGACAGAGTTTCACTGAGTTGCTTAGCACCTCGCTTTTGCTGAAGCTGGCTTTGAACTCCTGATCCTCCTGCCTCAACCTCCTGAGCTGCTGGGATTATAGGAATGCACCACTGTGCCCGGCATATTATGGACTCTTGAATTAAAAGGTGCTTTATTTTTTATAGGTGCTTAACTCAGCAATAAGCGCTGGAAAAGAATTTCAATCAAGTTCAGTTTCCTTGCCCTTAGCCAGGAAAAAAACAAGTTTCATTTCATATGAGATCCAAAGTGGTTAGGTGGCTGGCTGATGGCCCTGTGTCTGATTTTCTATGGTGCAAACTAGAGTCTTTGTCTCCTGTCTACAAAAACAAGGCCTTGTCTACAGCATCTCACAACCAGGATAAGAGGTTTCAGAGAAGACCTCCTCCCCATCCAAGGCAGGCCCACTTGAATATTGCTAGGTAGTTCTTAAAGGTGAAAATTATGTTAATGATCATAATCACCCAACTTCAATTTGGTTGGTTCAGAATGAGAAATTACAGGACATTTTCATTTAGTCAGAAAATAAACTGTTTTTTGGAAGAAATTAGAGGGGGAAAACTGATATACTTATTTTGTAATGAGAAAGTTAAAACAAACATTTATAGGACTTCTTAATTAATCAAATGTGCACACATTCAATGAATAAGTGTAGACAACCTTGATTCTTTTTTTTGTTTATCACAAAAGAATACATTTGGAAGAAAGCTTTCAAAACTTTTGGGGTGTAGAAAGGGGACAAATTTGGCATTTAACTTTAGTAAATGTGGGGAGAAAGAAATAAAATATCCACCATGAAAACTATCTGTTCCTTTACCAATTAAATCTGTGTCCTTGGTAGATGTGTCACCTATTCCACCTGCAGAAGATGCCTGTAAATTTGTGTCTCTCCTTTGGATTCAACTTGTCTTTCACAGCAAGAACCACTGAATCAGTCAGGTTAAGTTTGTTTTCCTTTAGCAGTTAAGTCTGTTTTCCATTGTCATGTAGATTATAGATTTACACCTATAATCCCAACAGCCTTGGAGGCTGAGGCAGGATCACAAATTTAAAACCAGCCTCAGCAACTTAGTGAGGCTCTAAGCAACTCAGTGAGGCCCTAAACAACTCAGCAAGACCTTGTCTCTAAATAAAATATTAAAAAGGGCTGAAGATGTGGCTCAGTGGTTAAGCGTCCCTGGGTTCAATCCCTGGTACTAAAAATAAAAAAGGAATCACTGAATCATGGATAAACTTGGTAAGCACTAGAGGTGTTTAGGCCCATTAAGTAAGCAAAGGTTGTATTGTAACACAAAATAGAAATATTAGAGGTGGTGTTCCTTCTTGTTTTAAGTGTGTCTGAATCCATGCAGGAGATTTCAAGTTTCCAAAAATTATATGTATATTTACATTTTCCTTCCCCTTAAGCGCCCTAAAAAACGTTGTCTATTTAATGAAACCCTAGGGTAAATCCTAAGAGCAGAGTTCTATGTTCATGACAATTTTGATATCCTAACTTATCTGTTTGCTAAACCTCCTCTCTGTTCAAGTTATCTGAGAGCAAAGGCATATTTGTGTCGTAATAATTTGATAATAGCTATTTCCTAAGATGCTTCCTTGGGCACTACAATAAAGCTAACACCAAGGCCCAGTCTATGGGATATGAAACAACCAGTCAAAAGAAAATCAGTTAAGTTTGTTTTCCATTATCATGTAGATTTTTTTTCTTAATACAAACAAGAGTAATAAAATGCAGTTGTGCGATTTATTTCCTCTCTAGCAAGTGGAGTTGAGTATATTATACACATATTATCACTTTTAAGGAAGAAGTTCAATCAAATCAATTTTGGGCATTGGACAAAGTTAATAAATTGGCTGCAAGTTATATCTACCGTTGCTGCTGACACAGTGCAAGCCCAGGATATTGAGTACCCCAAGGAAATGAATGCTTGAAGTACGAAGCAAATTATCTAAGACCAGAGGACATAAACTTTCTATAACAGGCCAGACGCTTATCACTATAGGCTTCATGTGATGTACTGTCTCTGTCACAACTATTCAATACCATCATCAAAGCAAAATAGCCCCAAATGAGATGCAAATAAAGAGGCATGTGTTCTAATAACTTTATTTACAAAAACAGGCAGTTGGCCTGATTTGACACCCAGGCCATATTTGCAGATCACTATTTTAGACACTTGGAAAATGTCACTAGATCCTAACACCCAAGAATATTTTTGATTGAGGCTTTTTAATCTCTTCTAAACAAAGAGTAGAAAAGGACATACAAGAAGGAATTTGGTATAACCCTGATGACTCAAGATGGGCTTACCAGATGGAAGATGTCTGGTAGGGAAGGCAGTCACTGACCTGCTTATCAGAGAACTTGATATCACTTCGCCCATATTCTCTACTTTAGTTCTCGAAAAAACTAATTAGAATCCCCATTTTCCAGATTTTTAAGAATGTGAGAAGGTGAAATAACTCAGTTGATACCTACCTGTCAAATCCAGCCCTATCTCACTCCAAAACTCATTCTGTTTTTTCTGTTCCATGACTAGTTGGTGCAGATGTAAGTTCTATGCTATGTGGGACAGGCAGGCAGGGCCAAGTGCAGAACCAGAGAGAGAATCTGCGATTATACAATTGGCCAGTCAAGTAAATTTTTAATCCATAGTTGGGGCCTGAAGATCACTTTTCTGTGCCAGCAGTTCAGAGTATTGTCACGCTATTCTCAGATCTAGCAAAGCCTGTGTTCACATTTAGTCCACAAACAGGGGTCATGGACCAGGTAAGAAGGAGGCAACTTTTACAAAGTGAATGTTTTCTTAACCCTTTCCAGAACCCCAGGGCACAGTCATTTCACCTCATGCCTCGAGGGTGTTTTCTGAAAAAAGAAAGTGCCTTTTCAGCACTCTTGGTGTCTGATTTCAAACCCTGCCCTTCCATCGGTGATTCTAAGTGGGTTGATGATGCCGCCCTGTTTTTACTGGTTTTCCCACAGGGTTTAGTCATCCAGGTGCCCTCCCTGAGTACCACATACGTGGGTCCTGGTTGAGAGGATAGGGGCAGTGCACAGGGCCTTTCCTAGTTTTCTTTAAGGTTCTGAAGGACAATTGAAGAAAACTATGATGTGCATTCATTTGAACATGTGGAAAAGTTCACCCCCATTTATTCCACTGAAGAGTTTACATATGGTCCCCTTTTGATGGAGTTTTTGCTATACCTGGCTAGCCCTCAAGGATATGAGCAAAAAGCATACCCTTTGGCATCCCCCTTTTTAAAAAAAATACACTTTTCATCTCTTAGGGAATATTAGAAAATAAAAAATGTAGTGTGTAACTAAGAAGAGAAAATATTACCTGGAGAAGTAACCCATCTCAGAGGCTGAAGCAGACAGAACCAAGCAGTTAGCATCATTTGCTAAGGATAGCTCTGCAAAAGGGGTATTGTTTTTACCTCCATTTTTAAATATAAGAAACAAAAGAACTGAAAAAAGGAGGGACTCACATAAAACCCAAATAATTCAGCTCAAAGTGAGAGGTCATAAGGATGCTTAGAAAACACATTAAGGCCCCCTGCTCTAACCCACAAAGCGCTCCCAATGGTATTGGCTGTCATTGCTTCTGGAAGGATAGGATATTTCTTCATCCTCTTTCTGGTCAAGTTGTACAACATCCAAAGTAAAATGTCCTAATTATCTTGGAAGGAGTCCATAACTCTAAATCCAAATTAAAGTTCATTTCTTTTCATTTACAAAAAAGCATCTCTCACCACAATATGAAAAATGTTGAAGTCACTCCTCTGTGTCTTGCATTAACAAATTCCAATTCCAGAGAATTTACACAAGAAATAAAAACAACAAATTGATTATAATGGGACTGTAAGTCACATTTTAATTAATGAATTTATATTTTCAGAACTTCAAAGTATCCAATAGAATAGTCAATTATAAAATAAACTTCCTAATTCGCCTTTTTCTGTAAATCTAGATTCTCTTAGACTAAGTTTGCTCTGGAGGTAGGTATGCCTGAATTAATTGAAAGGCATTTTAAAGAACTAAGCACCTTTAAAAAGAATAGAGCAATTTTTTTGGTGACACTTCTTGCCTGAAGAAGTACAGAACTGAACTCCCATAAGCTTCATCTCTCAAGAGATTGTCTATTTACTTCATTTACCTCATAAAAGAAATATTGCAGATAATCTCTGTATGATTTCAATGATGAATAACACAAGTTCCTGTTTAGTCCACATAATGGAAAATAAAGTTCACAGTTGTTCCATCCAACTCCAGGGATAAAAATCAAGGTCAAAGAGACACCTCCTTCCTTTCCACACTGGGACATACTAGTCTTACCACAGCATGGGAAAAAGAACAAGAGGCCAGAGAGCAAAGCGAATAAAGACCCACTTCTCAAAAATCAGTTTTCCACCTTGTGTCAATGCATTGACTTTCAGCAGAGAGCTAAAAAATTCAGATAGAAACAGGTCCCCCAAACTAAACAACGGGCTGAAGAGTATCTGCCTATAAAAATAAAGCCCCTCATGTAAACAACTGTACCACTTTCCCCTCCGGCCCCAACCCTGTATCACATCTGGCTTTTGTTTTGTGAATCATAAACTGCCCTTTCTTCACCACAGTGATTCATGCACAGAAGCAGAGATATGATGAGCTGTCCCACCTTGGGACACTAGCTCATCCCCCCCACCCAGCCTGGAAAATCAGCATCACCTCTGACAGGTTGGTTTCTCTACCAGGCTCCATCTCGCCCACCCCCTTCCTTTCTGCTCCCCAGCTTGGAACCCAGGCCCTGTAGCCCCATCACCACCACCTCCCCAACTCCAAGCCAAGGGTGATCTCCTGGCCCCTGACTCTGCTTACTTGGCTTTGACAGCCACAATCAAACCACTTACGTTTTTGCCAGAGCATGGCCTGTGACAGGATGTTGCCTTTTTTCTTTGAAGCAGACAGTTTGGCTTCTTTAATGTGAGACCTGGGTGTGCTTTCCTCCAGTGGAACCACCGCTTGCTCTGAGGCTGCTTCCTCGGCTTTTTAAAGGCCTGAGTTCCCGCTGCGTGGGGGCACGTCATCACATCCTCCCACCTGAGGCACGGGTGCACTTTTTCTTCAGCAACGCTGCCTGTCACCCCACTATGTGTGCATCCTCAGAGGCCCATTGGCTATAGAGAGTGCTTCACACCAGAACCAGCCAGCTGGGACTGAACAACCACAAAGCACAGGAGGCCGCGGCCATCTGCACAGAGCCACAGTGTGATGTCCCGCGTGTGAGAGTGTGAAGGTCTGTATGGGTGAGATGGTGTGAGTAACCACGTCAAGTCTTGGATCTCTTTCTTTTGAGGATCCCAAAAGAACCTCTGGAAAATGCTGGTTTTTCTCTGGTGCTCGTTCTGGGTTCCACCACCAGGACTTTGGCCAGACTCGGCCTGCCATGGGCGCCTGCTCAACGGGAAATGCGATTCCCAGGGGTCACTGATTCTCAACATGGGAGGAAGCACCTGTCCTCACTTCAAGCCTCACTAAACAACCTCCTCCTCCTTTAATATTGCTTTTCTGTTTATTCTACTTTGAAATGCAGTGGCCCCTCCCCTAGCCCCAGTCCCCACCAAAATGGCAAGCCTTAATTTTGTTTAAATATGGAGGACATTAGTTCTGATGATAGATATATCCACAGCAAAAGAGGCCAATTCAGGGAAGAAAGGAGAAGATGCCCACACTCCTTAAATGGAGCTGGTTTCTCAAAGGGGTTTTGTTGGCACAGTGAGAACAGGGCCTCTCTCCTAGTGCCCCCCACCTGATTAACAGGAAGCTTCACAAAGGAGGAATAATGGGTTTAACACTTATAGTGTATGGGTGTGAGCCACAAGGATTCTTCCCAGTTTGGAAGCCTTCTGTCACTATGTATCTGAAACCCACAAGTTCAGGATCCAGTGACCCAATCAGTCTGGGGTCTAGACCACTTGGCTAGGACCCCCTACGGCACGCCTGGGGCCCTGCAGCTCTGCAGGTCTGGGGCCTCAGAGCAATCTTGCATCTGACCCTCCCAATCTCAAGGGTCAGATGCAAAAAATTTTTTCTCCTTCTGCCTTCAGCCACAGAGCTGGGGGCATATAAAGCCCCTCCCAGTGTAGCCCTTGCCTTCCTCTCCAATGCATCTCCACTGCCCTCCTACCACTGACTCCCAGTGCCTTTCTAAAGCACTGCTGAATATCTGTGCAAACCCCTACTTTGACCCTCTGTCCTCTCTTGCTGGGTTCCTCTCCCCCCTTTCATCTCCTCTCCCTATCTGAAAATCACCTCTTTGTTTTTCAAGATCCAGCTCAAATGTACCTTTTTTATAATTTAAAAAAAAAAAAAAGTACTCTGACTCACCAAACCTCCTGGCCCAGAAAATATCCATCCATTTTTCTTAGCTGTTGGAGCACTTGGTCTGGTCACTAAATGAAGGAAAATTGTTGCATGACCCTGTAGGTTCCTTAAGGAGGCTTCACACAGGACCTGGGCCATTCTGACCTCTGAAAAAGCTTCACTATATAAAGTTATGAATGACTGCATGTAATGGATTGTTTGTTTGAGGGCAGGTCTTAGAGGAGAAATGTTCACATAAACAACTCACTCACAAGAGAGTGAGGGCTGTCTCCCGGCTGAGTTTTGGGCCTCACCAAAAGCCTCTAACTGCAGGAGGATGGACAGCCTTGCTGTGAAGGTAGCAGGGTCATAAAGCATTGGGCCTCTTAGAAGCTTCCATTGCAAACAGTGGCACATCCATCAGGCTTGGCTCAATCCCAAGAGACGTGGGTTTCCATGAAGGTTCTGCCATTCACTTCTGTGTCGCCTTAAACAAGTCACAAAACACTTTTAGTCTCAGTTTCCATGTTTATAAAATAAATAAGCAATTCTCTGAATGTCTCATAGATTCCTCGGAGGATGTGAACCCTGCTGGCCCTCTCTCACATTGATCGTATTTTGGCTCCTATTTTCTCCAAGTCCATGAAAACAAGAACTTCTTATTCATCTCTGTTTCTCCTCACAGGCCTAGCATAACAATTTTCATAAACTAATAAAAATAACTACTTACTGTGTCCAGGCTCCAAGTTCAGCCTTAAATACATTATCTGATCTAGTCCACACACAACAACTCCATGAGGAAACTTCTATCTGTATTGTTTCAAGAAACAAATGCTTAGGAAATTTAATTTGCCCAGTGTCACAGGGCTACTACACTGTTGGGTAAATGTCAGACTTAAGTTCATCTGATGACACCCACAGCTCTAAATAATTATACTAGTAGATATTCATTAAGTTGGAATCAGTGAAGGGCAAATGGCAGTCATGTTTATTAGTACCAATGCAGGATCACTATGATTCAAACCTGGTGCACATCAGTAGAAGCTTATACCCTCTGGGGTAAATCCCTACCCTCTAGAAACAGGGAGCAGGGGAGACCCAGAGATGTACCCATAAATCAGATTTTGTACACTGGCAGACACAGCCAAATAACAGAGGAAGGGAAAACTAATGGCGGGACACACAATAGTGAAATTTTAAAATAACTAACACAAGGAGAAAACTCCAAAATTTTTCTGAGAAAAGTATATTAACAACTAAGCATCAAGAATCAGAATAAAAGTACACTTCTCCATAGCAAAATCAGATGCAAACAGACAATGAAGAAGTATTTTTAAACTATTGAAGAAAAAGAACACTGAACCTGTAATTTTTAAATCCAGCCAAACTGCCATTCAAATATCGTAGCATAACAAAAATATCCTGAGACCTGCAAGGCCTCACATTAAAATTGCTCTTTGAGGAAGTATTCAAATGAAAAGAGCTACCTAGGAGGATGTTACAAGAAATACCAGAACAAAAGATCATGAAATATCTGGATCAAGCTTATTATAGGAATTTTCTTAAAACTGGAAACAAAAAGAGAAATTGTATCTATAATAACACAGAATATATAAAAAAAATCTACATGCTTGCCACAAGTCCATGGGACATCATTTATATTATTTTCTACTTAATTTTGTGATATGAAGTTCTAAAGGAAATCAAAGGGAAATTTGATTTTACTAATGTTTTTGTTGTATAAAGAGGAAAATACAGATTGAATAACCTTTATCTGAAATTTTAGCATCAAAAGCATTTCAGATTTCAGACTTTTTAAAGATTTTGGATTATTTGCATATACATAGTGAGATATCTTGGGTAGAGACCCCCAAGTCTAAACACAAAATTCACTTATATTTCATTTACACCTCATATGCATAGCCTAAAACTAATTTTATACAATATTTTTAGCATATGCATGTTTTGACTGCAATCTGTCACATGGGGTCAGGTGTGAAATTTTTCACTGGTGGTGATAGGTAAATACTCAAAAGTCTCTAATTTTAGAGCATTTGGATTTGGCATTTTCAGATTAAGGATGCTTAACCTGGAGAGGAAATCAATGGCAGAAAATAAACGTGTGAGGGCCAACTGCCACTTCTGTTCTTACCATAAAAACAGAAATAGAATGTTTTATTTTTAAACCAGCGAAAGAAAACTGGACCTTTCTATGGAAAACAGGAAGGAAGTATTTTTAAAAATACAGTGAATGGAAAATAAAAATGAGATAACAGGATGAGTTCTAATATACAGTAATTATAAAAATATTAAAAGATTAAGTTTACCAATTAAAAGAAACAGATTCAAGAATTTAATTCAAATATTTTAGAAGATCCAATAATGTTAAGTTATAGTTCAATAAAACAAACTACAGAAAATTTGCAAATAAAAAAATTAATGTAACCTTGATTCTAAAGCTCCATAAGGTCAATATAAGAAAATTATAGGCCATTTCATTTGTGAACATAGACTCAAGAATCCTAAATATTAGTTTGTAGAATACAATTCTGTATTAAGAAATAAAATTACATCATGAAATTATAATGATACATCATAATACAGAGTTCATGTAAGGAATGCAAGGATGGTTTACTCTTAGTATACCTATCAATATAATTCAACATACTGATGAACTGTAGGAGGCAAAATTAGGACATTATCTCAATCACTGTCTAAACATTTGATAAAGTACAACATTTGTTTTTAATGTTAGAAAAAAAAATTAGAAAATTTGGACTAGAAGTACACTTCCTTAGCTTGGTAAAGCATATACCAAAAGTCTACAGAGATATTATACATATTGGAGAAATTGTAAACAAATTCCTTCAAAAAAAAAAACAAGTTGTCCTATTGCATTATGTTATTCATTTCCAAAAAGTTTTATCTACAATTTCCAGAAACACATGTATTAAACACAAAAAACATGTGAATTATATCATGTTATTGTGCCAAATATTATTCCAGACTTTGGGGATACAGCAATAAACAAACCAAAAATTGTTAGCAACATACAGACAGATAATTGGTGTTGGGTAGATAGAAAATCCAACTGACATTATTCAACAAATGATTTGTCATCAATGCAGATACGGATATACTAAAGCATAGAAAAATTGATGGCCTACAGGCTTAACAATCCCTAGACACTGAAAAAAGTCTGTGGCCAGACATTCAGTGCCATTTTTAAAGTCTGATGAATTTCTTGACCTTAGAAGTGGGAGAGAAGGGGAGTACCAGAGTGATTTTAAAGGGTACCCATGAATTCCATATGCATATAAACATTTTCCTTGGCAGACAGTCCATAGAGTTCATGAACCACTGCTCATACCCAAGGTTAAGAACTACTGTTTATTTTAAAGAAGTACTATGATATCAAATTTTGAAATATGAAAGAGAAATTGCTTAAATCTAGCTAGAACAATAATGGGCTCTGAGGTAAAATACGAAGTCCACAGGTAAAAAAGTAAATTCCATTGCTGCCTACAATAAATTTCTCACATTTCTTTACATACTGCATCAGTTAAACCCATTTCTCATTTCTCCAGCAATTTTATAGCATTTCATTCTTTGGCATTTCATTCTTCCATCTAGGGGAATCAGGAAAATATAGTGAAGAGATTATTTAATTTACATTTGGAGAGCTTTGTTTGGAATCTGACTGTACTGCAAATGTGAAGACTTGTGAGTTGTTTAGGTTCTCCTAGTTGTAGCTTATTCCTCTTCAAAATTGAAATAATAATTGTTGCAATGATTAGATACAATAGTGTGGAGTATTCTGTATACATTAATTTTATTCTTTGGTTCAGACCAAGAGGCTACATAACTGAATTCCATTGAATATTTTTGTTCTCAAAATTCATGTACACTAGGGAGTCCTTCAAGCTTTGCCAATTTCTGCTTTTCCAAGAAAAGGGCTGGCCCTGCTACCTTTGCAGAAGAAGCATTGGGTTCAGACCACATCTCATCTTTTCAAGCTGCCAGCCACCATCTGCAAATATGGCTGACAGCTGCTTGGCAGGTCCTTATCTAA